AATTGTGTATTCTGCATTCCAGGTGCTTGATAGATGACTTCGCCCCATTGAACACGAACTTCGCGTTCTGGGTGCTTGATGGAGGCCATCGCCCCGTTGAGCCTGCATGCCTAATTTGCATGAATTATACATTATGATGTTAGACGACGGTTGCATGCACACTCTGTTATTTTCTATGGCCCATTACTATAATAAGCCTCCACGTCGTACAGCCCATTAGCTACATGGGAACGGGTGTGGTCGCACCCCCCATAAGGGGACTATATGGGTTTAGGAGGTACTCAGCACACCCCTAGGCTAGATACCATGTAGTCTCAGATAGCCATGCAAAGGTAGCGCCTCATAGAGAGATACCGACCATATCAGCTCGGCGTAAGGAACCTTTAAGTATTAAATGAAAGGACGATGAACCGGCAAAGCCTAAGGGACTAAGATTAGAACCAGATGTCCTAGAACTGAATTAGGAGACCGTGAGAACCTGTTAAGTTAGGATGCGATGAGAGCCTACAAGTAGGTGGCTTACTGAGTATATTTTTCATACTCATCCTTGCTATGTTTTCCTTTTTCAGAAGCACGAGGCGTCGGTCAAGGGCAGGCGTGATGGAGACAGGGATTGTCACAGAGGAATGGATTGTCTCGAGAGCGTCAGTCCAGTCTTTATTTTGTATTTGCATTCTTTCGTAATTTGTTTCCAAACTCTTAATTTTTTTGTTTGTCGTTCGAAATTTTATTGGAAGTAAATGATTTTTCTCTATTGCATGCTTAAATTATTTTGTGCATTCATGTGTCGTTAATCACGGTCCGTAGTAAAATATTGGGTCGTGACACACCATGTCCGATTTTTAAAATTATTATGAAAATTAAGAATATTTGATCTTTGTTATTGATATTAGTGATGTGTTGTGACTTGTGAATATTTGATATTAGAACTTTATGAAATTATATTTTCCCTAAAGTCGCTACCAGACGTAACTTGTTTATGTGGAAACATTCATTTAAAACAACTTCATACAATGATGTCATGGACTTGTAGGTTTAAACAATACAAAATAAATATTAAAATAGCAATGATCTACGAAATTAAATACAGCTACCCTATCTAAGTTTCATAGTCTTTATTTGCGATGTTGTCGTCTTAAAAAGATGTCTTGCGTTTACTTAAAATATGAGAGTAGCACATGGCTGGAGAACTTTAAGGAATACTTGGTAAGTGACCCCACTGTATGCAAACACATGCAATCATGGAACTTGAAAAACAAATCATTTGTAACGGCTCAAGTCCATCGCTAGTAGATATTGTCTGCTTTGACTCGTTATGTATCATCGTCAGTATCACAGTTTTAAAACGTGTATACTAGAGAGAGGTTTCCACATCCTTACAAGGAATACTTCGTTTCTCTCTCCAATCGATGTGGGATTTAACAATTCATCCCCCTTGAAAGCCCAACGTCCTCGCTAGAACACCGTCCGGTGTTTGGCTCTGATACCATTTGTAACAGCTCAAGGCCACTGCTAGTAGATATGTCTGCTTTGGCCCGTTACGTATCGCCGCCAGTCTCACAGTTTTAAAATGCGTAAACTAGGAAGAGGTTTCCACACCATTCTAAGGAATCTTTCGTTCCCCTCTCCAGATCTAACAATCTACCCCCCTTGGGGGCAAGCCTCCTAGCTGACACACCGCCTTGGTATCTAGCTCTGATACCATTTCTAATAAGATCAATAATATGTTATAATGTTTTGATACCTACTTCATTGCTTCTTTAAGAGCCTTTAGATGATTACAATAGTAACCGCACTAGGGAGTTTCGTCCACTTGACAAAGAACTAGTGAAACCCGAGTAAATGATCCAAATGTAAAAAATATTTGTATTTTAGACATAAAACTCGTTGGAACTTGTGCTAAAATTTGGAAAGTTTCTCCCTCTCATATGAAACTTGAAAATATATTTATAATAAGGAAGACGAGGGTGGGGGCAGGTGAGGGAATTTGGCACGGATGGAAAGAAATCTCTCCCCATACCCTTCCCCATTTCCCGACCAATGGGGAATCCTCGACCCATTTAGGGCAGGCCCTTACGGTGCTTCGACCTCATAGGTTAAATGAACATCTCTACTCACATGTCTTCACACGAATAATTTGGCTCAAATCATTTGTAACAATTACAGAGTTAATCGTATCAATAGTGTTACTAGAATAAGGCACCCAAATTTATTTATGTATTATAGACTTCTTAGATTATTACTTTATGTTATATTAATAATTTTGAATTTTTCAAGCACGTTATTAGTCTATTCTAAATGTCAACCCCAGATCTGGCTCGAGTTTTCATCTCAAGTCACTTATCAAATAACTTCTAGTGATCGGTCGTTCCTCTAAGGGTGAAAGCCTTTATTTACCTTTTTTTTTTTTTTTTTTTTGGGAATTTTCACGATACTAGGACTAATTTCTCTCTAGTTTCTCTATATATAAGGTTCACTCTCGACTAGTTGTCAGCCTGAGTCTCCAATCACATACTAAATACTCGTATCATATTACTAGCTAAAACATGTTCGAAACTTGTATACTTGTAACGTGACAAAACGGACGAGCTCATGTGTTCTCATGCGCTTGCACACTCTCAACCACAAGCGCCCCACACGCATGCACTCTCACACATATCACATTTTTCCTTCGGGCAATGGCTGAAAATCTTGTTCACACGAAGAATTTGGGGTTTCTTAAATTTTTTTCGCTCCTCAAAACACCACAATAGCATAGTCCTTACTCGTATGAACTTAAAACGTGCTCCAAATGACCAAAACCACGCCCAAACCTATACGAATCTTAGATTCAAACTTTCAATTTAATGGGTTTCTGGTTTCTGTTTAATTTCGTTTTTCCCTCCAAATTTGTGCTTAAATAATCATCTAATATAAGTCACGAGTATACATATCATATATATCAACCAATGCATGCATATCTAATAGTTGGAAAGGTATTTAAAACACGATTAATTAATAGGAGAGTGTCGTACTTGAAATTCAAGCTAATCAACGAGCTAACGCCGCTCCAATCCTCCTTAATCGAACCAAAATATTAGTAATTTCCTATCCAAACATCCTAAATTAGTGGATTTAAATGTAATTTCACCTAAAACCAAAAGGAATTGGAGAAAATAGACCTTAAAAGTCAAAATGGAATATTAATTTATAGTTGACTAAGCTAACCACTAGCTAAATGATATCATGTTTTTCAGGGCAATATATTAATTTATACCTCTTGAAATGGCAATAATTGTCAACTAAGAAAATATTAATTTTTTTCTCCATTTTTTGAAATATTTTTATAAAAATATTAATTTTAAACCATTTTTTAAGTGGATAATTTTTATTTTAAAATATAAATTCTATTTAAATAAAAAAAATAAAACATATTAAAATTAAAAAAAAAATTCCCATAGTTTCTAAATTTTAATATTACTATTTCACATATATATATATATAAATAATATATATTTATTCATTTATTTACTTACTAACTAAGTAAAGAAAGAAACATATTGAATGCAAATAAATAAATATATATATATATATATATATATATGACAAAAATTTGGCGGGGACAAGAGTGGGAATGAGAACGAAAAATATAATCCTCGTCACCAACCTTATTTAGCTAAAAAAGAAAAATCTCTCTCCCGTCTTTAAAAGTTAAATATATATTTGACCTTATTTAGCTAAAAAAGAAAAATCTCTCTCCCGTCTTTAAAAGTTAAATATATATTGTTCAAAAGATCGTGACAATTATCATTAATTTTTAAATATATTCTTTTCTTACTATATCTATATATATATATATATATATATATATATATATATATATATATATATATTATATTTTAATTTGAACCCATAATTACTTTTCCAATTATTTATTATCCCGCCTTTAAATGGTAATTTTTAAAAATTTGAATAAATGACCAAAATAACATGAATCGAGTTAGTTGGATTAAATTTATTATTTAATAGGGTTGATTTAAGTAGGAAAAAAATATATTTCTATCCCGAAATATATCACAATTTGTAACCACCTAAGTCCATTACTAGCAGATATCTAAGTCCATTACTAGCAGATATTGTCTGGTTTGACCAGTTATATAAAACAATCAGCCTCATGATTTTAAAACTTCCCTCATCCAACCAATATGGGATCTGATAAGGCAATCATAATCGTCAATCCAAGTTCGAATTAGATTACCTCTTGCATTTGAAACCTTGTTGTAAATTGAGTCACTCTACAATCGAACTTGATTGCATTTACAACGAGAATTACTCGAAACTTAGAAATGGCAAAGATGATGCTCGGGGAATGTCTCAACTTGAAGATGAATGTCATTCATCACAAATCTAATTTTTACATAATAATTTGTGGGTATTTATAGTGTCTCCACAAAATATATTTGTGGCTATGATTTAATCCCGTTCCCCTTAAATATGCACAGAGTACGAAGACAATTTGACCATTCAACCATTACAAACATTTTGAAATTAAAAATAATAAATAAAGTTTTCTAACCACTCATGAAATAATACAGATGCTACTTTCACCGTGCAAATATTCACTTCTGAAACTCCAAATGATCCTTCCAAATCAACCTGTAATACATGATGGTTGAACCAAGCCTATCCAATTTTGTAAATGAAAAACGAATGTTTGTTGAATCTTCTTGACCTTTGATCACGTAACAGGCGGTTAGAACACTTAGTAGTTTAATACCCATCTTTTTCCACTTTCCATTTCTATCTTTTCTCTTTTTCTTCTAATTTTTTAAAAAAAAATTAAAAATTTTGAAGAATAATATTCTTTACTATTTAAATTATTTTAAAATTCTAATTAAGAAATTTGTTGTTCTACTTTATTTGGTATGTGAGTTGCCTCTTTATTTCAACTTCAAATTTTTTTAATCTAATTATTCCTTAAGAGCCATTATATATACGAGCCTTCAATGTTAGACGTTCGTATCATATCTAAATGGCTTCTCTTACCGTAAGTGTTTTTGTAATAACGCTTCTCTTCCATTGTAGTGTCAATGTCCTTGAAGCTGCGGAGTATCATGAGAGTCCTGCTCCTGCACCAGCTGACCATCATCTAGTTGCCCAGAGCCCCCAACACCTTCCTCCGTCGAGCGAGTCTCCGATCCCCCACCAGCCACCGAGCCAATCTCCGGTTCCCCACCCCCTTCCCCCGTCGAGCGAGTCTCCGATCCCCCACCAGCCACCGAGCCAATCTTTGGCTCCCCACCACCTTCCCCCGACAAGCGAGTCTCCAATACCCCACCAACCACCGAGCCAATCTCCGGTTCCCCACCCCCTTCCTCCGTCGAGCGAGTCTCCGATCCCCCACCAGCCACCGAGCCAATCTCCGGTTCCCCACCACCTCCCTCCTTCCCCTTCGCCTCACTACGCCCCCGTTGAGCCACCTAAACCGCATACCTACCATCAGAGAAGGTCCATCGAAGTCGAAGGTGTTGTTTATTGCAAGTCTTGCAAGTATCCCGGTGTTGAAACCCTTCTCGACGCTAAACCCCTTTCAGGTTAGTTCGAAAAATAACATTTTTACTTACGAATCATTAGATATAGCATAAACCCACTTTAGTTTTAGCGCGTATTTTACATGCAATAAGAGGCAATGTTCTAAATTTGATATTAATGTTGTTGTTTTGTTTACTAAAAGCGTTTATTCACATTGTCCAATAATGATTCTCGTACCTGTATGATATTGTTTACTTTAAACATAAGATCTCTCCAAAAGACCGGGTATCAATAGAAATAGCATCACTTATTTATATATCTATGATCGTTGTAGGTGCTATGGTACAAATGACATGCAAGAACACCAAGCATTCTCGAGTAGTTGTGACAGCCACCACGGACAATAACGGCTACTTCTGGCTAGCGACGAAGGACGTTTCGAGCCACGCATACCACCGATGCAAGGTTTATAATGTGAAGTCGTCGAACAAAAATTGCACTATAACGTCGAAAATGAACGGCGGAATAGAGGGGGCGGAGTTGAGGCCGGTGAAGGCATTCTTGGACGCTGAGAAGAAACCGGTTGTGCTATACAGTGTTGGACCATTAGCATACGAACCCACCTGTCCACGTTGAAAGTACGACGGGAGTTTGAATTTACGTGCTTTTCTAGCTTTTCGCGATATTGTTGTTTTTTAATAATTTTTAATCGAGTCAACGAGTTTTCGAGCTTTTTTTTTTTTTTTATTAAGTTATAAATTAAATTATTAAAAAAAAAATTAAAACACTTTAATAGGTTAAAGGGTATTTTTGGAACTCTTTGGAAAGTTTATCGGTATTAGATAAATAGAATATTAACGGTTACCCTTCAAAACTAACGATAAGAGTATTTTTAAATTTTTTTGAAAGTTTGACTGTAACAACTCTAGATTTTCTAGTAACCTAGAGTCGCTACCGTCATCATAACATAAGCATTTTGTGCAAAATAAGCATTTAGACTTCATCGTAAAACATAAATTTTCATCTTAAAACACTGTCACGGACTTACGTGTTCGAAAACATCTTTAAAACGACACAACGAAATATTAAATGAAATAAATAAGCGTGAAAATTAAAAACACTCTATTCTAACATAAGTCTAAGAAAATAAGTACAAGTACTCTATACATGTTCCATGGTCTCAAATTGCGATGTCGTTATCATCCGTATAGAGATGTTTTGCTTTTACCTGAAATATAAGTAACACGTGGTTTGAGTATTTTAAGAAACAATAAGTGACCTCACTACTGAGGTTAGATACAAACACACATAATCATGAGTGGGACTTATCGTATCACTCTATAGTCCTTAGGCAGCTTGTAAGGACCGGATTGACTCGATGACTCTAAAAGTATGGGTAACTTTTTTGCGGAGTAAAAACAAATAAAATTTAAAACATAATATACATTATATTTATATTATAACAAAATAGTGTACATAATAGTTAAAATACAAAATAAGGAACATGCACAATATTTAAAACAAAAGGGAGTGGAGGATGATAGGTGAGGCTTGTCTATGGCACTTACTCCAGAGTCTGCTCCTGATCTCAACCAGCTCCTTGTCCACCTGAGAAACATGGAAAACATGAAATGAGTAAAAAGACTCAGTAAGTAGTCTACTGGTAGATTCTTAAGTGTGTCCTTGATATGTTAGGATACGACACTCTTTCTTGTCTTGCTTTGGTTCTTGTTGTACATACTTAGGGCGTCTAGTTCTTGTTCTTTACTTGTGGGTTCTTATCATGATCTATCCTGAGGACTTTGGTCCTTGGATTATAGTTCTTGATTCTTGTTCTTCGAGTTTGGATCTTGATCTATGTCTAGTTTTAGTTCTTAATCGTTGTCTTGTTCCCAGTTACTTTTTAGGTTCTTGTTCCGATCATGGTTCTTCGTTTTCTAAGACACTCTCCCTAGGATTTACGATACTAGTCATGAACCTGACAACATGTGTCCACGACACTCCCCCTATTCAAAAGACCTGTTGTCTTGAAAACTCCGATTAATCCAAGTCAACTAATACAATTTGGATTTTGTTATCAACTTATTTAGATTAAATGAGTTCATGAAAACTTTAAAGAATGAATTAGTTCATGATGATGGAAATTAACATTTCATTCCAGCAACAAAAATATTTGTGAATTAAAACTAAAAATTGAACAAACTTACGTTAAAATAATATGGAGGGATCTTTAATCTTCTGGCTCGATTTCCTTCGATGGCTGGATCTTTCTTTTATCTACGAAGTCTTTTTAGTTATGACTCGAATTCAACGTCAAGATAAAATTCTAAGGGATAGAGAGTAAGAGCTCTCGAGAAAATTTTATTCACATTTTCGCTCAACTCAAAGCTCTATTTATATAAACTATTTATTTAATTTGTTTCTACAAATAAAATTTTAATTAAATGAAAGTGATTACTTATTTACCTGTGTAATTAATGTTCCATTTTATTATTATAACTTTATTAAATCCATAAACTCAAAGATCTAAAATTAAAACACATTATTCATAATATACTTATTAATTAACAAAAATTTAATGGATTAAAATTATTATAATAATTTAAAGTAATAAAATAAACTAACTACAATTAATTTTCTAAAATTAATTAAGATAATAAAATTGTTGAAATTAACACCATAGAATCAAACAAAAAAATATTATTTATTTATTATATGAAAAACTTCTACCAACCACTTAATTATTTTAAACTTCTGAAATATCTATTTTAATATTATATTTTTTTAAAAAAAATACTTTTGTTACTATTACTTTTAATATTAACATGTAATTAAATTATATAAAGTTGTCCAAAACGAAATTAACAAAAAAATCAGCTCAAATATCAAGTTCTATTAATTTCTTACTACATATTTATAATTAATTAAACGCGCAACCATAGTTATTATAATTGTTCTTCTAGCATGAGACTATCGAAACATACAAATCGCGATATTTATTCAACTTTAAGGTAAAAATTGCAATGCTTCTAAGTTTAAGATATACCTCAATGAAATCGAACATAACACGAATCAAATTAACTGTTCCAAATCTCTCCTAAACTCGATGTTATGTCATCTCCTTTCGTTTCCCGGTGGCTCCCTGTACAATTTACAAAGAATCAGTATTGATGTGAGGAACATCTCTGCCCATGCACCTCTATCTGTCCAATGAAAGTTCATTAATTTGGATCGACCTATCGTCGATGGATTATCGTAAGATCTTACCGTGGCCACGAAGATGAGATGCAGAATAAATTGTGAGCTGCTTGATCGTTAACCGTGGCAAGAATGGTGCGCCGAAGAATTTAGGACCAATGTTCGTTCGACTCAGAACACAACCTACTTAAGCTCAGAAGAGTTCCCAGTGTTCATATCTGATATGGTTTGGTTTAAACTTCCTTGGCATCTGATTTTCCTTCTCAGAAGGACCGATCAAATGTCATTTTTGGTCGTGGAATAGAAGGGGCATTGTTTTGTATGAAGCAATAGTGGGCTCAACTGGAAGGTACCATATCAATCTGTACTGTATTTGTACTTTGTTCAAAGGAGTTACCGTCGACAACCTCTTCAACGGAATTTAGTCGACGTGGTGATATAGAGATTGAAGTTGTATCGACGTCCATCTCAGTACAAGGGCAGTCCTCCCTGGCAGTTTCGCCATTCACATGCTTTACAGACACAGTTGAATCAATAAGCAAGCTACTGGCGTTATCGGTAATATAATTAGAAGCAGCTTCTTGTACCGAGGCACGGTCACTCTTGTTCTGGTTCGACTTAGACTTGTTTCTAAGTACAATATCCCTCAGATATACTTCGGTGTCAGTTTTATGCTCCTGGAAAGGACTCCTCGACTCTTGGTTGTTGCTCCCCATGCTGATTAGTGCATTCAACTGCTTCTGGACAGACATTGCAAACGATACAGCATGATCACGTATTAACGAATCGTGAGGTGGACAGCGCAGCAGGTCGGTCAAGGCCTGCTGGTACTGCAATGAGCTGATTGATGGTTTTGTAGTCCCTTTCTTACGACATATGTTAATAACCTTGCAGATATGCTCACATAGATTACCCATTTCTGCCCATCTGCAATCACAAAGACCGAACTGCGAACCAGGATTCCAAACAACGAATTTCCTGTCTCGAGTAATTTGGTCGGTTACTTTTGCGATATTTCCTTCAACGACAACATCAGAGTCTGGAATTCTCAATGCTCTGCGCCAATATGTCAAACCACTCATCCATTCATCTTTCCAATACCGTGAAAAATTATTCTTCTCCGAGTACTCATCAAGCCAGAAGTAAGAATGTACCTTTGTACCCAGCTTGTAGACCAACCAGTCCGTGCGCTGATAAACATCAACATCTTTTTCATTTAGCAATCGTAACTTCAATTGGCTGTGGTAAAACTCCATTGCAGCACATGTTTCCAGACTGGTGAGTGGAAGGTTTTTTAGTGCAGTAGTCCACAACCCTAAGACCAAAAAAATTTAGACGATGAGAATTTCGATATGATATGCTCCTCCTAGTCGCCATGGTCTTGAAACTTGTTGCACATGTAATGAATGTATCTAGCCTTCAAAACTAATGTCCATAATTTTCAAAATAACCCCTTTAACCGCCTAAATCCACCGCTAGCAGATATTGTCTTTTTTGAGCTTTTTCTTTCGGGCTTCCCCTCAAGATTTTTAAAACGCGTCTGCTAGAGAGAGGTTTCCACACTCCTATAAAGAATGTTTCGTTCTCCTTCCCAACCGATGTGAGATCTCACAATCCACTCTCCTTCGGGGCTCAACCTCCTCGCTGACATATTTTCCTAGCAGACGCGTTTTAAAAACCTTAAGGGAAACCCCGAAAGAGAAAGCTCAAAGAGAACAATATCTGTTAGCAATGACTTGGGCAGTTACACCCCCGGAACACATTTTTTTCCAGATCGATAGCCCACTCTTCCTTCAAATAAAAACAAATGAAAAGAACAAAAACAATGTGCTTGAATGATAGTGCTCATGCACATTGCACTCGCATTTACCATGTCTGAAATCAAATATACAAGAATTATAAAATAATCGCATTAACCATCAATTTGGAGCCGTTAGAAGACTTTGGATGATAAATTATGCAGATATCTAGCAAACAAAACTGATAGCAACAAATTCAGCAAGCATGATAAATTGGAAACCTTCTTTTTCTAAGAAAACCTCATTATTAGAGAACAGAGAAGGAGACAAACCTAGTCTAGGACACCAGGTTGCCCTAAAGTAGTCAATTAAATCTGGATCATCAACTTGATCTTTAATCAGCTGTTCAAATAAATCCACCTTTTCATCACCTCGGCAAACTCTATCCACTGCTTGCCCAAGCTGTCTTAATATCTCAGCTTGCTTCTCAATTTCCACACATTTCTTCAGTACATTTTTATGCCATGCATGACGGACCCGCCAAAAGCTTAATAAAACAGAACATTGAAATATCTCCCTGAATAAAATCAAAGAATACTCTCAATCACCTGAGGGTGGCATACTTGAAAGGAAATGAAAGAATTTTGTGTGTGTGTGTGTGTATGTGTGTGTGGTACAAAATCGAGCTTTTAATGAAAAAATGAAAAAAAA